TTTTTTACAAGTCTTTTTATTTCATTATAGTGTACAGTAATCGATGCCATTTCATTTATATTTTAATTTCACAGTACCACGGGAGTGTAGTGAGTGTACTGTGGTACTGTGAAATTAAAATATAAATGAAATGGCATCGATTACTGTACACTATAATGAAATAAAAAGACTTGTAAAAAAAAGAATAAAATTTACACCTTCTTGTTGTCTTGCTTTTAGGCTCCAGCTGAGAAGAGCAGATTCTTACTCCAGCTGCTACTCATTGGACAGCGACGATTGTGAAAAAATAATTCCCAAGTAAGAAAAACCACCTTTGCAAGGCACTAACATGTGTTAGCCGGTGTGATTACTAAACAAACACTATAATACTCTGTCTCTACTGTGGCTTTAACCAGGGTGAAAAACAAAGATGAAACTGCCACAGAGGTTTCTGACACACCTGTGTTAAAGCACAACCCAAATGAGTTCAAGCATCCTGCTCTGACCGTGGAATTCACTTTCAAGGTTAGTTTGCATTTCTATTTGAACTTTAAAGAATTTAAATAAAAAAACATTGAGTTGAAAACCACATCATTGAATTCATCCCTTCATTTGGAATCAGGCTATTTGTGAAATCCTTGGGGAGCTGTCCGAAGACCACCTCTTGTTTTTCAAAGTAATGCTTTGGAAGCGTTACCCACAGTCATTCAACACTCCTCCCCAAAGCCTGGACTTGGTGGACCTTGTGGATCGGTTGCTGGAGTGTTACAACCTGGAGGTATCACTGCAGATCACCAAGACGCTTCTTGAGAGTATTAAGGAAAGAAGGCTGGTGAAATTACTCCAGTCTTTGTGCCTCAGAAGTAAGTAGGCCTATGTGTCTTAATCTCTGTTTACAGTCAATTTAACAACAGAATCAACAGCAAAATATGGAGACAAGGCAAAATAAGTAATAGTCAAATTAAATTAAAAGGGACATATCGTTCTCTTTTTTAGGTTAATACTCTTTCTGAAAACACTCTTATCTTTAAGCCCCCCTTCAGAAAAAGAACGCTCTGATTTGCTCGTGCTAAAAATATGGTTTTTACGGCTTTAGCCGTTGTGGGTACAATCTAATAAACCTGCATTTGACATAAGGATAGTAACCAAATCTGATCGCTGGTTGAATCTTATATTTTCTGACAAACATACAGAATACTGACAGGATTGTCATAGTATGTGGGTTTTAAGGTACCCCATCTTCATGTGCTTATGATATGTCCCCTTTAAATTCTTCCCAGTCCATTTCTCAGTTGGAAAGAAATGTGAGAATCTTGCATATTTTCATTCACATTTATCAATTTTCAGATGAAGTACGTTACGAGTTGTGCAAGACTCTGAAGAAGACATACGGAGAAATTGATGATGATTCAGCCTTGCAGGGAGAAAGAGGGCCCCCTGACGATTTCTTCACTAAACTGGACATAACCTCAATAGCTAATAATGGCCCAAATATTGAACATGAGGTCAGGACCATAGACAGGCTGGACACCAACAGCAGTAAACCAGTGGAACAGATTTCTACTAAGGATCTCATAAGCGCTGAAAGGCTGGAGAAGACCAACGTAAAGCTGGCGCTGATCACAGGAGTTGCAGGGTCAGGGAAGTCTATGGCGATCAAGAAGTTAATCCTCGATTGGATTGCAGGGCGGTCCCACAAACATGTGACCTTTATGTTTCCTTTGCCGTTCAGAGAACTCAACAAGTTCAAGGGTTCTGAGGTCTCGCTGTTGCAAATAATACAAACACTCTACCCGGAAACCAAAAAACTGAGGGATTATGATTATACCTGCGATGAGTGTAGAGTTATGCTTATCTTTGACGGTCTTGAGGAGTACAACGAGCCGTTTGACTTTCAAGACACTTCGCTTCTCACTGACCACACGGAGATCTCCACCCTGAACACGATCGTGGTCAACATGCTCAGAGCGAGGCTGCTGCACCGCGGCATATACCTGGTCTTTTCCCGGCCCAGATTAAGGGGCTGCATTCCTTACGATACGTCTTACGATGAGATTGAACTGCGTGGTTTCAGCGACCCTGAAAAGGACGAGTACTTCAAAAAAAGATTTCCGAACCCAGATCAAGCAGCTCGAGTTATTGAGTATACCCACTCCTCCAAAACCCTCCGCATCATGTGCCACCTGCCTTTGTTTTGCTCCCTGGTGGCTGATGAGTACCAGCGCATATTTAAGGAACAGGGATTACAGGCCCAGCTGCCCAGAAGCATCACCTACATGTACACAAAGCTGCTGTTGGCACTCATAGGTCAGCGCCGCACATTAGGAGCTTCACCTTGGGGCCCAGATAACGGGGGAGACTTCCTCATGGTACTTGGAAAGTTGGCCTTCAACATGCTGGAAAAAGGCACGCTCAAGCTCAACAGGTACGAATGGGAAGATCATGAACTGGACAATGAGGAAGCAGTGGATAACAGCGGCCTGTGCATGGTGTTTGTGACACAGCCTCATCTCTTTTGTCATGAGAAAGTCCTCAGCTTTATCCACCCCACCATGCAGGAGTACCTGGCTGCCCTTTATGTGTTTCTCTCCTTCAGAAACCAGGGGAAGAACTTGTTTGAGCCGCCGCTGAAAGAAAAGTTCAAGGGGTATTTCAAGGGGCAGAAGCCAATGGAGCTGTACAAGAGCGCTGTGGACAAAAGCCTGCAGTACGACGACGGCAAACTGGACATTTTCCTGCGATTCCTGCTCGGAACAACTCTTAAAGCCAACCTGGACCTTCTCCAACCATTCTGCACACCTTCTCCAAAGTGGCAGACAGTCGCTGAGGACACTGCTGCCTTGATCAAGAAGAGGATCAAAGATAATCAGCACCCGAACAGGATAGGCAACTTGAAGTGCTGCCTGGAGGAGCTGGGTGTCTGAGCCTCAGAGGCAGCATCAAGATGGAAGACAGTTCAAAGACATGTGCGGCAGTAGTTGGTGAACTTCTCTTTCAGGAGCTGTCAGTACCGGTCGCAGAAGGACTGGTTTCTTTCGAAAAATGCCTTGATTTCATCCTGTGACAGACAATTCTCTATATCTGAAGCCACTTCTGGATAACATTAATGAAAGTGAAAGATGATAAGGGTCCTTATGTTTTACATTTCTTCTTGTTTTCTAGTTTTTCATTGACATTACAACTTCTTGCTTGTGTTCCTGCCTTGGTCTTGATGTGTCTTTTTTAACTGTATTATTAACACTATATCATGGAATCCGTGACTATATTCACCTAAGCAATAATTGACTGATTTTAAAAAGGAGTTATTTTGCAGTGCAGCTTGGCGGATTAATTTATGTTGCTTATTGGCTGCTTAAATTTGTGTTTTGTCTGAAATGCAGTAATCACATTGAAGAGCTGAAGTAAAAAGCATCTGTGCTATAAATGCATTCCTCTTATCACTACCACATATGAAGGGTTGTTCTAACAGTGATACCCATTGCTAAGAAAGTTATCTGTTTGAAATAATTGCTCAAATTAACAATACATTTCTAAGGAAACCACCATAAATCACGGTCAGCTTGAGTTTGTGAGTGAATTTATTTATTTTCAACTTTATGGAAAGTATTTTGATATGGTTTCAAAGTATGCACATTTAAACTGGCTTATTGCAAACAAACAAAAACAAATACTGAAATGTTACACAAACATGGATAAGAAATATAGAAGTGTTTAAATATTTAAAATAATCTGGAGTCAGTAGATTGTATCTTTGTGAGGTAACGTTGTGTAAATGACACTTATTTAGGGTGAAGTCAGTTCCACATACAATGTTTCAATATGAGGATGATCCTCAAAAAGCTGCGAGAAGAATGGAAGTATATTCTAGTTTCACTCTGACATTTTAACACTATTCAAAACCATCAAAGTAAGTTACTGTGGAACTGAATGCACCCTAAACATTGTACATTTCTTCATCCAAGCTTTATTTGGCATTTTTCCTACCCAACAGTATAAAACAGAATAGTTAAATGACAGACAAGTGGAAGCTGAAATATGAAATTGTTCTCAAGTAAAACATGGCTCACAGAAAACCACTTTAAACTGTAGTGACATTCAGTGTTTTCTCTTCCTCCCTACGTTACAATTTTTACTAACTTTTAAAACGATACGCTTTCGGGACGTTCCGGCGTCGTTCGTCACGACACAGGTGAAGGTGGATTTGAGGTCTTCTGACGTGACGTTCCTCAACAGTAAACTCCTCTGGAGGATCGTACCATCCTCTAAAGACGATCTAAAACAAACACCGTCATTAGAGCTCAGCATGAGGTTGGATTCAGGATATTAAATCAATAATTAAAGACACAAGTCCCCTTCAATGTTGTACCCTGTGATGTGGTCATTTCCACCAAAGCTTATAATACTCACTCCTCTGATTCTACTATTCTGCCACTGCTGAGCAGGTCTTCAGGGAACGAGCCATTGACGAGCCAGTAGATGAGTGTCACATCTGTACAATTGGCAAACGCTTCACAGTGAAGAAACAGCTTCTCACCTGTAAGTCAGAATACATCCAGTCATACACAACAAGAGTAAAGCTTGAATAATAATAAGGGATCCCTTTAAGTCAAAGTCAACTTTAATGTCAATCTTTCAGTTTGTGTGTACAGATAGAGATCGAAATGACGTTTCCAACAATCCCGAATACAAAAATGCAATACACAGATATGTATAGAATATGTATATCCTATATACACATTTACACATAAAGATAAAAAACACAACAATCAATATATACAAAATAACAGTCACTTCAATATCAATATCTTTGAAAGCAATCATCATAGAAAATACCCAACATTTGCAGGTCTTTTGTGTTAACATACCAGGATGAGCTTTTATTTTGACATGACGTGGCCCAATGATCTTTGGAGGTTCATCCTGAGAAACTGAAGATCACATTTATGTCAGCACAAAAACATAACCACATATTAATAAGACTTAATATCAACAATAAAATATACTGTACCTGGAAATCCATCTACAAGCAGCAGACACAGTGAACCCAGAGCTGTTGAAGACACAACATATTCAACCAATGCCATTATACACTGAGAAAGGACTGATGTTGGTAACTAAGTAATCATACCTTTGACGGCGGATGACAGCTTCATATCGACTCCTTCAGTTAGGTCGTTTGTGTATTGACTGCGGTTTGGGAGTACTATATATATGCCCAACAGCATAATTCACTTCCCTAATCCTAGTAAAACCCAATGCGTGTACATGTGGTAGCCTACATGGGGATTTCCTCAGAAACAGCCCACGCTTTACAGCCTGTTTGTTGACACACACTGGTTACATAAATCAACTTCACTAATTCACAATTCTCAGTCTTGTGATATTAATTGTCCAAATAATAAATCCAGGGGGAAATTACTCAGCTTTAAAACAAACCTGAAGGATGCATTGATAACGACTTCTACACCAGTACACACACTGAAGACAGTAATATCACTAAATCAAAGGCCTGTTATATTTGTTTGCATTCATTCCCTTTCTGTGAATACAAAAAAAGAAAGAGGCAATGTCTTGAGTACATTTATTGACCCGTATCATAGCTTTGGTTTGTGCTTCGTACAGTAGGTGGCTGCATTTTCAGAGCAGATAAAAAAATCACTGAAATAAAGAAAATCGATATTTTCCCTCTTACCTAGTGGTGTTGAGCAATGCAGTTGGTTTTTAATTTAGCTTTGTGATATCAGTCAACCACGTAAAAAATACTATTTCTTTGCTAGAAAGTAGTTCCAACGAAAACAGCTGTAACAAATCAGTATGGTTGGATAACTCTACAAGTGATATCTTTTTTATTTTTAGTAAGTTTGGGGACCCTTTAAGTAAAAAAAGGTAACTTTGTCAATGAAAAAAGTGACTTCCTCAAATTTAAATGAAAACCCAGTGAAGAAATACTGTACAAAGGCCGGAGGTCAAAGAAAATATGACTGTTTTTTCCCGTTGGTATGGATGAGTGTCCATAAAGACAGTGAGGTCATTTTGAAATCCTGTAACATCCAGTTTCATCTCATCTCCTGTGAGGAATCCTCCGGTTCAGATTTTTTTCCCCACAATGACTGTGTTTTCTGTCATATGATGCATGAGACCGTACGTATGAAACGTACTAATGTCACAGAAGTTCAAAATAATGACTCAGAGTTAAAAGGCTAAACAAATGATTACATAAATGTGTGTATGTGCACTTTGGAGACAGAGGGAGGAATTATATATTACTTGTGTTTCCATTTAATCTTTATTACTCATGTGTGATAGCCATCAGACATGAGGACAAAGTCAAACTCCAGTAGGATCTTTTTTACTAAGAATAAACAAACACTTAAGACATAAATTAGTAAAAAGCACCCCCTAATGATTTTTAGAACCGCTTTACTAGGCCATACTGAAAGATGCACCGAACAATTATCAAGTGTAACGCTGTGTGAAACAAATCCTGGGAAACCGACTGACATCCACATTGAGATTTACCAATAAAATTCAAATAAACTGTAAATACAGACAATATGTGCCTATAAATATATACACAAAAAGTATAGACACTTTTATTGGTGTTTTAGTTCAATGTTAGGCCCTCAGTCTTTTGAGCCAGTGCATATCATCTCCGTGTGGCGAGTTTTGTCCCTTTCTGCATCGCAGGTCACTCCAGACCCAGGACGTAGTTGATGCCTTGCACAAATCCAATGATAACAGGCTGCCACGCCACCAAGTACCGAAGCCAGTCCAAAAGTTGTCCATACATGACATGTGGCCTCTCCCAGCTAAAAGGAAAATGGGTTAAGGAAAAAACTTGAACAGCAATCCACAATGGCTAATGAATGGATGCCAATTAAAGCGGTTAAAACACAGATTAAGAGCCAGTAGAAACCACTTTCAGTTTCTGTGAAAGAGATACAGTCGTCTTTAGTGTCAACTGTGAACAAAAAAAAAGGAACAGGAACTTAATATATATAACCTATAAATGTTTCACATCTCATTTCACCACGCCTTTTAATGAGCTGTCTGAAAAATGCAACAAAACTTTGCCGTCAAAAGTTCCCCCGCAGTTACAAGAAACACGTCTTGGAATGTCTGCTTCGAAAACACCCAATTTAGATTTCAGGCCCTACTTTCACTTGTTTTATCTTTTATACAGTCTGAACGTGGATATTACTGTGCTGTTAATGATATCTATAATTAACTTGTCGTAACGATATATACACAAAATACAATTTTTAATAATGCAGCACAGAAGAACAACAGGGAAAGCCAACATGTATAAAGAACTTAAAAGAAGGATACGGGTTGCTGAACATCCTCTTCAGATCCACCTTCTCTTTGCAGTACGGACACATCTGCTTCTTTCCGACGATACACCATCCTCTTATGCAGAACTCATGGAATCTGGATGTGGAGTTAAGGCTCGGCACTGAAATATGTGAGGGTCGGTTCAAACACTGGCTCAAAATGTCATTACTAACAAAATAACCTTATTGTTGAAATATGAAATGTATTATATTTGTAGCCACTGTGAATTCACCTGTTGGGTCAATATTGTTGAAAAACCAAAACAGTTCTAGAAAACAGACATGTTACTTTACCTTAAAAACTGTTTAAAGTAAAATACAGTATAGTTACCCACTAAAGGTTAATACATTTAACTGGCAGGCAAGGCACTAATGTTACAGTGGTAAAATACAAGTCGCAACTATAAAGTTATTTTCTTTCTTTTGGTAAAACAATCTTTGATATTGTATTCCATATTTCTATTTGTTGGATACTTTCTGAACCTAGGCACAAAATGATTTCACTAAATGTGTATGACAAAAATAGAGATATCCATATAATTGCTAGAAACCAACAATTGTGGATTTTTCGTGTGGATCTCCAAGTCTACTTTTGAGAGAATACATTTATTTCAATGTTTGCATTAACAGTATTAAAATGTCGATGCCGAATGAATCGCGTTCTATCCTCTTTTGCAGCTGAACAATTTGCTGTCACCATTGGCAGTAACCGTGTAAGATAACCACACATTTTCCACAGTAAACTCAAAGGGATAAAAGTTAAAATGACTATAAAAATAAATAAAACCACCGTCACAAAATATATCAAACATGAAATATATAAATAAACGTTCTATTATACAAGTGGCAGTGTACGATATTGTACGTTTTAAAGTAGTGTTGTTTACAGTGGAAGCTGCACGAGATAACAATGGGGGAAGTAATATGCATTCAGATGAACAGACTCATAACATCCACAGTAAGACATAAAGGTCAGGTTAACTAATTCCCTTTTGCCTAGACAATCGCGTACACAATAAAGTTGTCACAAAGTGTACCATGACTAAAGCTTTTTATAGACGTGGAATACCCCATCGTGCAGATCAACATCTCTTTCGCTGATAAAACATATAGCTGCATGACAATATGTCCGATTCTCACGAGGAAGGATACACATGGTTGCAGGATAATCTGTACGTGTTCTCGATAATCCCCTCCTCGCTGACATCTACGAGGATGGGCTGCCCACACACTGCACAGATATTGTCAGAGAGGTGCTTGGTTGGCATGCCAGATGCACTGTAGTACTGGAAAACAAAGAGAGAAAGAGGTGATACTTTAGCTCAGTGGTTCCCAAGTGTCTCGTATACCCTTGAGCTGGTCTCTATTCTATAAGAACCCCCTCACTCTGATGATACACCTGCATTTTTCCTTATGTAAACCCTTAATAAATCGTATTTAACCCAACTGCTCCTTAGATGAAATTCAATTGTATAACCCTGAATACAAATGTATTTAAACTTGCAGTTATTGTCAGTGAAAAAATTATAATATTAAGACTCACTTCTAGCAGTTTCAACATCTTTTGTTAAGACTCAAGCTTTTAAGAGACACCTGAGCTTGCTTGTCTTTCATAAGCTTCGATAGTTCTGGGGGCGGGACACAAGGACTATGAAAATAGATTTTTTAAATGTTTTATTGTGTGGAAATATATTGCAATCCCTAATCTTTCTACTCCCCTTGCAAACCCCTGAAGTACTCTAAGGGGTCCCCGTACCTCCGGTTGGGAACCACTGCTTCAGTTTACAGTTGTTAACCTCACAGCTTGGGGCCTACAGTCTGTCTACGTACCCCAACAGTGGAAGCCATGAAGTCTGCACACATCTCTGCAAAGTCCCTCCCCAGGACCCCGTAGTACAGACCGTAGAATAGAAGTGAGACACCAAAGTCCATCGCGTCCTCTGGCTTTATCCTGCAGAGAGAAGGCACTGCATCACGGCTCAGGAGGGGTTCAACGTTAGCTTTAATTCAATTCATTAAAAAAGTACAAAACATATGGGCTAGAATAATTCTAAGGATCAGCTGTACCCGGAAACATGTTTTAAATGTACAGCTTTGAATCGTAGTTTATTAAAAAAAAAGCCCAATAACTTATTTGCATACCAAGCTTGAAATATACCTTTGCTATTTTCCCTTATAAGCAATCTGAGGCTTCTGTTTGAATGGATGAGCTGCCAACACCTTTTGTAACAAAATAAGATTAATTACTATGGAGAAATGTGATGTAGGCTGTTAGTTAAAAGGTCCCATCATATGCTTTTCTGTTACCCATCCCCTTGTGTGTAATGTAGCTTTTTCTGCATGTAAACGGTCTGCAGAGTCACAAACCCTCAAAGTACACCCTGTAGCGAGTAAAACTCTAAAACAGAAAAAATACCTGTCTATGCTGCCCCAACGCCTCGTTGGAGATTTTGCTTTTTCCATTTTTTTCTTCTGGGGCCTATTGACGTCACTAATTCTGGACCAATTGGCACACAGCTATAGAACAATAGGCACACTCTCTGCCAGGGTTGACTCCCGAGGAGCTCAGGAGTCCGCCCCGCGAGGCTCCCGGAGCGGACAGTGTGAGGCGGATTTCCCACTGTGTTTCCCTGGATGCTGGAGATAGACTAAGTGCCATGCCAGCGCGAGACCGCGGAGCTCAGGCTGAGCTCCGCCATGTCCCGCTAACCCTGTCTCGCTGACCCCACGCAGCAGCCAGGAAACGACACCAGTAATCCACCTCACACTGTCCGCTCTTCACAGCAGCGAGCCTCGCAACGTCCACGCAGTATTCTTATCTCTTTGTCATTTTCTGGTTGCTAACAAACCCCATTGTAACACATAAACACTGATGTCCAGCTGTAACAGTGGTGGACTCATCAGAACAGAGTGGGCGAGCCG